TTACTTTATATACCTCATTTTTATACATTTCTTCTGGGTGGTTAAGACCAAGATAAAGCAAGACCTATATAACAAGAAATGTAACTTTTGTATCTGATAAGGTCAGTCAAGTACCCTCAGGATTTATCCCAGAGCCCTGTACTGTACTTTATAGATCCTTTGTCAGTGTCAGCCATGAGGATGAGTCATGGCTATTGCTTGACCAATTTGCTTTCTGCGAAAGCCTGAGAGAATGTTTTTTCTCTCCATGTGACTCTCCCCAGGCACACTATACATCATTGATCACATTTTTCTGTGGCTCCATAATCTTCTTGATCAGAAAATTTGGAGCGCAACTGAGTTACATGTTGTTACTGTACAGGTTCTCCTATTCCCGAGTCTTTACTGACCTTGAAAGGTTAGGGCCAAAATGTTGGTTGACCTTGCAGCCCTTCCTTTTCTCCAATTTCAAACTCTAACTTAGGTTGTTAAACTTCCAGAAGAGAAGCTTATTATTAACCTGCAGTATATGAAGTTCGGTTTACCCTATCTGTCTAAATATCAAACACCTTTTGTTGCCCATACTTTCATTAGAATTTTTAAATCTCTTACATTTCTGTGTCAAGGACTCCAATTCTTTGTTAAAGTAACCATTCATATTTTGTATTATCTATTGGCCAATTAGATCAGAAAACAAAACCTATCAATATGTTGTATACAAGAACATTTAGTTCAAAGGGAAATTCACAGACTAAAACTCAAAGGACGGAATACAGTATTCCATGTGATGAGAATCCCAAAACAAGTGAGAGTAGCTGTCCTGTTTTCAAGCAAAGTGAACTTCAAGCCAATATTGATCCCAAGAGGCAACACTCAGGTTGCATTTTATTAGTCTCCTGTAAGCACGGATCATTTTGTTTATTCAGTCCTTATCTATTTAGTTATACCACTGTTCAGCTCACCAACCACCTTATTGATCTTTGTTTCTTTTTTTTCCCTCCTTTCTTATCATTTCATGCAATTCCAGTGTTTGGCTTTGGAGCCTCTCCTCGTTGACACCCCATGTATCAGCTTTGGAGGAGTTGGGAGCTTCTGCAGGCATTCTGTTGCCTTGTCTTCTCACTTTTCTTTCCAAATGGCTCCTGATTTAACATTTTCCATTCGATAAGCTCTGCTCTGGAGTTTGTCTCCAACTCTATCTTGCCATGCCGAAGTCAATTTCGGGATTAAACCCTGTCCTGATTTTGCAATTTAAAATAAACATCCTCCTTTGAGGGGTTTAGCCCTGCTGCCCTATTTGCCCCTCATGGAGTCCTTGGTCCTCTTTGGACTCACCTTGTGTTAGTGGAGACAGGTCTCCTTCCTTGGAGGCCAGGTGTAGGCTTTCAGGCTGCTTTGTTATTCTCTTTGCATTATACTGTGATTCTTCTGCTTCTCTGTAGTTTTTAGTTTTCCTGTCAGCTCCCTCCCAATTCTCAGAGATCCACTTCTTTTGTACTTACCAATTATTATTATTATTATTAATTATTATTATTATTCCAGTTGTCTAGGTTCTGGATGGGCTGTAGTTCACTGCTGGTATTTACTCCACCACTTAAAATCTCCTGATCCTCTTTTCTTCAGTGATTTGTAATGGCATCATTGTTATCAGGCAAGTGTCCATGTAAGACTATTTCTGGGCTTGTCATCATGTAGGTTATCCAGCTTTGTCACAAATAAGAAAATAATAAATTTAAAAAGTTGAAAAGAGGAAAGATTTATTTGGTATCACAGTGTCAAAGGTTTCGATCCATGAGCAGTTGGTTCCATTGGCTGGAGCCTGTGGTAGCACAGGAGGACCTTAGGGCAGAATGTACGGTGGAGAAACTCATCTCATGGCTGGAAATGAGAAGAAGAAGAAACCAGCGGCCTAATATCCCTCTTCGAGGACATTCTCCCGGTGACCAGAATGTTTCGCACTAACCATGTCCCCCTTTTGGTTTCTTTTTTTGGTGTCATGAGATTGAATCCAGGGTCTTCACACTTAGATATCTTTCCAACCCTTCTATCCTCCACCCTTTTTTTTTTTTGTTTGGTTTGAGACAGGGTCTCACTATGTAATTCAGGTTAGCCTTGAACTATGTAGCCAGGCTGACTCAAACTCATGGCAATCCTCCTGCCTCAGCTTCTTGAGTACTGGGATTATAGTCATGTACCATGATGCGGTGCTCATCTTTCTTTTTTTTGAGGCAGGAAATCAATAATTCACTAAGTTTCCCAGACTGGGCTTGGATTTTTTGATTCTCCTTCCTTAGTCTCCCAGAGTTCTGGGATTATAGGCGTGTACCACCATAGCTGCTTTATGCTCTACTTCTATTTAGATAAGTGCTCAGAGGCTCATGTTTGGTTGCCAGCCCACAGTAGTTTTGGGAGAATAAAAGGCAGCAACCTTAGGCAGAATTTCCATTTCTGTTTCTTCACTTCCACTGGGAGATGGTGTTGTGGGCTGGTGACTGAGCCCGGAACACTATGGGCCTTGGGGAACTTACCTAAATCAGGCAGTGTTTTCATGCTACGTTAGTGTTATATTGTACAAATTAGTATAGCTTTCTAATAAGTCTTGATAGGAGGTAGGGCAAATTTGTCTTTGATAGCGGTATTTTTGCTATAGCAATGGCAGAGTATAAACTTCTTAAAAGTATAACAATATTTTAGTTATTCTACATACATTTTAGAATTACTTTTCTAAGTCCCTGTGTGTAGCCTGATATGGTGGTGGATGCCTGTAATCCTAGCACTTGGGAGAGTGAGCCAAAAGGATCCTATGAGTTTGAGACCAACCTGGCTCCATCGTGAGTTCGAGGCAAGACTGAACTATGTAAAGAGACCCTGGCTCAAAGAGTAAAACCAAAACCAAGCAATTTTATTGCATGCATAGTCTTACTGGGGAGAACTTTTTTTTGATGATACAGGTTCTCACTATGCAGTTTAGACTTGTAGTGATCCTCCTGTCTCAGCCTCCAGTGCTGGGATTACAGTCTTGCACCACCATGCCTGGTTCTGAGACCAGTACTGCACACCAGGGGTTCCCTGGCCAGCTTGGCATGTGTTAATGGCAGTCGAACTCAAGACCTTGTGCTTGCCAGGCAAGCGCTTATGATGCCAAGCTATCTCCCCAGCCCATAGGAGAACTAACTTTTAGGATAATAAGACTTTCAATCATTTATATAGTTTTCATTTATTTAGGTCTTTTCTTAAAAAGAAGAATTTAAAATATTTTCTATGAAAGCCTTAAGAGATACACTAAGTAAGTAGATAGTTATCGGTATCTGTTTATGGCAGAACAGAGTCATGTATCGTAGGCATCTCAGGATTTAAGAAACACAGTATGCTTCCCTGGCAAGCACAAGGGCCTGAGTTCAGTCCCTGGTT